GAGTATTGAAAATGTGGGTCTAATAACTGTGTTTGACTCCCAGATCCCAGGGTTCTTCCATGTATATTTGTATAATTATAAAGAAACTGTTAGGTGGATGTTCTCAGGAGATCCCAGAGACTACTCTTGGGAAGAAGGAGAGTCAGAAAGCAAGGAATCAAGGGAAGCAGCTATTTTATCTCATTTAAGATCATAGGATGGGACCCAGGAGTTTAGAGGTACATTGGATACAGGGTTGCCTGACCATTTAAAGACCATGAACTAGTCCATGTTGGAGCATGCATCTGTGGGCCATGAGTAAGTGTAGTAGAGTGGAGATATTCCTGATAGGTAGAACAGTCCCTTGTGTTTATCTGTTTTGTTTGTCCATTGATAGCATGACTGGCAAAATGGGGGAAGGGGGAATAGAGCTCAGCTGGTGATCTCTTTCAGGGAACGATCTCTTGAAAACAGCATATTCAGGGTGAAGTGGAAGAAAGGAGAATGGAAGTAGGAATAGTGAACCTAAACGCTAACCCACCTCAAGCATTAATCAGCTTCCGCCTTTGTTATTACAGTGTGAATGCTTTCAACTTTTTCAGGATTGAACATGGTTGCACCTTGTCATTCAGATTTAGCTGGGACAGTGGCAAAGAGGGTATGGGAAGGTGTTTATTTAAAGCACTATGATATCCAGGAAATTTGCAGCACCAGAAAAGCATTGCATGAAATGCACATACAATTGTTCAAGTGCCCAGATATGTGGAGCACCACAGAATATAGCATATACTTCTAGTGCTGTGCAGCCAGGGGGTCTGCACAGAGTGATCCCAAGGTGCTTTGCTGTAGGAGTGCACTGATAGAGATTTTGGGGGCTGATAACCAATAGCCGATTTTTAAGGAGGCATATCAGCAGATACCAATCCAATTTCCAATACAGCTGTGTGCAGCTGGTAAGTTCGTTGTGGTAGAAGGGGGGTAGGGTGGGGCATGGGATGGACCTGCAGCTCGTCATGGGGAGAGCAGTTCCCACTGCTGCTTGCATCCTGGGAGGGCAAGGTGGGGCATGTGCCCCATGGTGAGGGGTGGGTGGGTGGGCTGGAGCTGTAGGCTGGAGCTGGGGCTGCCCTTTTCTTTTCTTGGTGGGAGCTGGGCTCGGGGCTGGGACTACAGAGGGGGCTGCAACCACCCCAAATTTCACCATAGTCCCACTCCCAGCACCGCTGCTCACCCAGCACAGCCCTGGCTTAACGCCCTGACACCACCCATGCACTGAGAAGAGCCGGGGATGCACTGGGTGCGTGGCGGTGCTGGGAGCGGGACTATGGCAAAATCTGGAGTGTCTGCAGCCCCCTCCCATAGCCCCCCCTCCCATAGCCCCCATTCTGAACCCAGCCCCTGCCGAAAAGAGCCCGGCGCAGCTCTGGTTCCAGCGTGCAGCTGCAGCTCGCCCACCCTGCCCTGCACAGATCCGGGGGCACATGCCCTCCCCCTCACCCCATGCCCTGCCGGGGTGCAAGCAGCGGCAGGAGCCGCCCCACCCCCAGACAAGCCACATCTCTGTCCCACACCCTGCCCTACCTCAGCTGGGCAGTGCCTGCCCATGCCCCTCCCTCACAGCAGGGTTGTTGATTTGCACCTCCACGTCCCTTCCCTTTCCCCTCCCCTTCCACCACACCGGACTTACCAGCTGCACGCAGCTCTCCACATGCTGTTGGGCTTGCTTCTCACTGTCTGTCTGCTGTGCTGCAGCTGCGCACACGCATGAGCGTTTATCGGCCAAATTATCAGCCACATTGGGTCAATTTCCAATACAACCAGTTTTCTTTATATCAGTACTGATCCGATATCGGACCAGTGTATCGGTGCACCTCTACTTTGCTGGAATCTCTGGAGGTTCCTGAGGACAGCCTAGTGCAAAAGAAAGCACCAGTTGAGTGGCCACCTGGGGAACCACACCCACCCAGGGACTGCCCTCTCCAGCCCACCCCACCCCACCCCTTTTTACTGGCAGCGCAGAGCTGCAACACATCTGGGTCAGTTTCTGCTGCCAGAGGCTCATCAATTTCACTTCCAGCCCGCAATGGATTCACGCTGCCCTCATAGTCTGTGATCACAATGGATCCCTGCTGCCCTCACAGCCTGATCCAGTAGTGCGAGCAGATGCAGTGCATGCCTTACATTTGCCTATGCAGCATCAAGGCCTACCACCACTTCTTCAAAGAGCTTGTTCAGTTCCTATGTGAGCTATGCTGCACCACGTATGGCTATGCAGATGCAACCAAGTCCCTGGCCAGTTGGTCTCCAGTTTGTCTACCGGTTCACCATAGGCAAGTCCACAGTGGAAGAAGCAGTAGAGGATGTGTCTTCGGTGGTGGTAGGAGGGTGCTGGTGACCTTGCAGAGGTTTCACCAGCTAAGCATGCCAGGCTTGTGCATAGCATGGCAAACAGTCAGGCTTGCAGTGCTTGTAGTGGTGCGCCCAGCCCCAGTCCTCCACTTGACTGTGTAGCACCACACAAAGCACATGTACACCTCCTTGACTTGCACTGATGTGCAGGGCTCTTATACCCCCTCTCCTTCCTCCTGGCCATTGCCTTTACCACTTGTAAAAGCTGAGGGCCACGCGAAAGTCAAATTTAAAGACTGCATTTATTTTATTAGTAACCATTTTAATAGAGTACTCATCACTCCATGTCCAAGCTTCTGACCACTGTTTTTTCCACGTATTCAACATTGGTGGTGTATAAAAAAATTCTGTAGTTTCAAGTTCAACTGCACTCCAATTAAAGCACTTTGTGCTTTAAAAAGTAACACCCTAGAGCTTCAAGTTTATAGTTACTCAGTTTATGTTAAATTTACTCAGATGTCTAGGGGGAAAAAAGGATGAGCTTTCTCCTGTTTGTTTATAAAACTGTTATACCATTTATCAGTGATTACTGGAACTGGAAAAGAGGCAGTGGCTTCATGTGGTGCTTATCATGATAATGAAAAACATTTTTATTGTTCAAAGATACAATATTGCACTGCTGTCCAGTTTGGCATCCCTGGTTTTGATTAAGTGGAGGCAGGGAACCCACATACAATAAGTCTACAATAATTTTTTACAGTACAAATGAATACCCATTCATATTAACATATTTTCTGACTTCTGAAGACTGTGCGGTGTGCTCTTTCTATACATAAAAAATTAGGAAACTGAAAAAAATCTTTTTAAAATGGCCCATAGTGCAGATGCAATCAGATGTCACAGTAACAAATTCAGGCCTTTCTTGCTTATGCATACTAATGAAGAAGCTAGAACTTGATTAATAATTCTGTCAACGATGCATGAGGCAGAATAGGATTCAGTTTGCTGACTCATTCTGTTTTGTAGGTGTTTTCTTGTGAACAAGAATAAAAAGTAGCCAGCAGTATGTTTCTGCTAATGCAAGAGGGTGTGCTTCCAAACTCACGAAAGGAGTGGATCTGTTTATGGAAGGAATGTCAGTTTTAAATGACTTGCAGAAGATAAATGCAAGTTATAACTCAGCTTTTTTGTTAAAATATTTAGAAATCTTACCCACATTGTCATTCAAGAAGTTTAGTACTGCTGATACATTTTATTCATGGGAAGTACTCTTTCTTACCATGTAAATATTCAGGATACTTCAGGGAGCTAAAAAAAAACCCGTAGCTTTCATCAAAGAACAACATGAGTTGTTAAATCTAGCTGTTGTTCCTTAGTGCATCCTACTTCCTTATTCCAGAAGTAAGCAGATGAAATAATAAAAAAATATATAATTTATACCTTCAGTAATTACATTTAAAACGAATCAAGTGAATCTTTCACCTTCTGTGACTATAACAAATGTCCATAAAGACTACTGAATTACCAGTGATACAAGCAATAACTGTAGGTTTCGACTTCATAGCAGTCCGAGTGTTATATCTTCTAGTATATATAGTCATAGACTATATATAATGCAAAGGCATTAACAAGCAACTGAATATCAAAAGCATTGTATGCAAATGAGTATTTAATGCTATTAGGAACAAAATTGAACTCAGTGGGCATGTCTACACAAGACACTAAAAGCACAGCAAACTAATTCTACTTTGCATTAGCATGTCATGGTGGAAGCTGTACTAATGTGAAGTAGAATTGGTCTGTTGTGCATTAGTATTACATAAAAGATGTGTACTGGTGCTACTACACAGCAGTGCCCATTATGGTACCTCTTATAAACATAATGCGCCATAATTACAGTGCATTAATGCACATGTAAACGTGCCCAATATAGTTCAAAAGACTAGCAACACAATCAAAAATTCTTCTGCCTGATCAGGAATAGTAATTGAATGGTTTTGAAGTATGTGTTTTCTCTTGTATTGTAAAGGAAAACCTCAGAATTGCATCTAATGACATAACCACCTAAACTGTTAATTGGTTCCAGTAATGACTCTTTAGTGCATGAACTGTGGAAGCGTGGTTATAGCAGAAGTCAGAACTAAGATCTATCCATTGCTTTGTCACTGACTTAATGTGTAATGTTGGGCTAGTTACTTAACCTCCCCATGTTTCAGGTTCCTCAAATGGAAAATTGCCTTAGTGATTGGGTTACCTTGCTTTTGTGGTGGAGGTCAATTTATTAGTGCTGGTAAAGTTCACAGTGATGGTTGTTTATAAAGCTTGAGATCTGTTGTAAATTTTGGTGCGTATTCAAACAGGACTAGACCTACCTCACTGGTTCATAGTTCAGTGAAACAAGAGTATTTTTCCCTCCCTAAGAATTTAGGAAAGGAATCTTCCTAAATTCCCCTCCTAGATTCCTCAAGGATTTAGGAAGGGAAAAATCCTTCCTAAAGAAAGGAAGAAAATCAGTTCCTCTTGGATTTACATTTCTTTAATAAATTTCTTTATACATTTCTTTAATACAAAAGAGATATAAATGCCTGTTTAATTGATTCATGGGTTTTAAATGCAAGGATGACTCTGTGATTTATTCTAGCCAAATTAAGTATCTCTGCTTTTATTAATAGATGACTCCTAAATCTAAAAGGAAAAGCATCCACAGCCGAATGCTCCGTCCTGTATCTAGAGCTTTTGGTAAGTTGTGGGGGGGAGTTTCTTGCCTAGTTTATGATTTATTAAAATCACTTCCTTATATTCAAGTTTGTAGAAAAGTTTGTTTGATATTTGAAAATGCAGAAGACACTCTCTGGACTGCAGTTTTGGCCCAAGAAACTCTTTGTTTTATGAAGTGTCTAGTATATCTCTAATGTGTTTGGTAGTAAACATTTATTGGCTATTGTCCATCTGCTCATAAATGAACTGCCTTTAGTGAGAGAGGTCACTAGACCAAAAGTATTCCATTCTATTATGCTCCTCTTTAAAATGCCATGTCAAGCCTAACTTAAAGGTTTTGATTTCTCTTAGAAATGGAATTTGACCTAGACAAAGCACTGGAAGAAGTACCTATCCATATAGAAGACCCACCATTCCCTTCCAGCAGGCCAGACAAACGAACTTCTGGATTCATCTCGGAGCTGCCATCTGAGGAAGGGAGAAAACTGGAACACTTCACAAAATTAAGACCGAAAAGGAACAAAAAACAGCAACCCACCCAAGCATCAGTAAGTGACCATTAGAAAGTTGTTAAGGATCTAGCTCCATGGTTGCTTTTAACAAAAAAGTTTGTGTCACAATTTTGCTTGAAACTAGAGGTTCAGAAATCCCGAGACAGTCCCCTTAACTCATGAGGGAACTAGAAAATCATGAAATTTAAAAAAAGAAATATTTTTATTTGCATTCAATTCTTTTAGTTTTTAAGGTATAGTAAGTCTTTGTTATCTTTCTATTTGGAATAAAAGTTTAACGTGTTTTAAAGGAAAATTGATTTTCTCGCATAATCGCTTGACTCCAGGAGCTGGAGCTTTTAAAAAAAATGCAACATTTTGTAATAAAATCAAAGGCTGGAATACACTGAAATCTTCCTCTTTCCTCCCCTCCCACCCCAATCAATCTTGAGTAAACATGCACAAATTGCTTACTAGCAGCTGTCAGTGGAACTACTCTGTAGGCACTCAACCCTTATGCTGAAGACACAGTTTGGGGTCAGCAGATCTTCCTTGTCACAGATTCACACTTCAAACTACATCATTCCTCAAAACCAAGTCCCACAGTGTCACGGAAAGCTCCCATGAAACCCAGTTAAATACATGGGAGAAGTTTTCGTGGTTCCTTTTGCTTAGGAAACTGCACCAGTTCTGCTTTTTCTGACCATCCCTGAACTAAATCCTTGAGGAAGCAGAGATGGAGTGGTATGTATTCCTTCTCTGGGATAATTTATCCTTCCCAGGGACAGTTTGGACCTATGAGCCTGTTCTGCTGGTATGCAGTCACCAGAGCGGAAGTGCCAACCCAAAAATATTTCCTGTGCTGGGAAGGGCCATGAATATATATGTAGCATTTTATGTCACTCAAGAATTCCTCAGTGCTAAAAGATTCACCAGCCGGCTTTTTCCTTTCTCTTCTCGTTTCTTTCTTTTTTTTAAGCTTACTTTCTAATTCATGTATACTGGTTGAAAGATGCAGGAGTTGGCCCATAAGCTGTTGTACAACACAGGCTTGATTTTTCTGGAAGTTATTTTCTCTCCAGTGCTAAATTTCTCTCTGTCATCTGGAACTTAGTATAGCCTGTAACATCAAGATAATTGAGGTCATGTTATATTGAAGAGACACCAGCTGTCAAGGTGTAGACTAAGCAAGAGGCAGTGATTTCAGGCCGCAAGCAAGTTCCATTATCTTGTAATCCAATAGTCGTGTATTTATTCACAACTGGAGGACCCTGTTGTCTATAAGAAGAGAAAAATGTGGGATTTTTCCCCCACACATTGCTTACTTGGCCTGGAAATGTGAAAAGCAGCATAGATGGTATTCTGTAAACTGAGAGTATGCACGTACAATAAAATGTTATTCCTCTTAGCAACATGGTATTTACAGAAACAGTAGAACCAGGTTTATATGACAGTTTGCTTTTTTTTCTGAAAAAGTTCAAAGTGACTGAAAAACAGAAAAAACAAAAGGGCATGGAGAGTGAGCATGCTGTGTATTTGGCAAATAATTTATTCAGTGAGGAACAGTTTCAATCAATTTCCAAATTTTTGTGAATTCAGGTCAGATTTGGCAAACAGTTTCAGACGTATAAAAAGTCTGAAGGAAAAATTTTGAAATGAAATGTGGAAAAACTTAAGCTCAAATTCCTTCTCTGCCTAATTCAGGTTTTCTTTGCCTTGTCTCACTTCTGAGGCGCACACCCAAACCACTGGAATAGAGGATATTGTGTTTCTCAGGCTCTCTTGTGGAAACTGATCCATATTGTTCAAATACTTAAATTTACACGGGGGTGGGGGGGAGAGTTGGAAAACCTTATGGCCTGACGTTTAGCTCACACTTCTGGGAGACCCAGTTTCCAGTTCCTTCTCCAATGAATATTTAATTAGTTTATGCAAAGTGCATCAGCTTCAAGAGGAAACTTGAGGGGAGCCCCACATTGAATCATCTATTACCCAATGAGTGGGACACTCCCTGAAGATGCTGGAGACTTAAGAACATAAGAATTGCCATTTACTGGGTCAGACCATAGGTGCATCTTGCCCAGTATCCTGTCACACAGTGGCAAAGTTGAACGGGAGAAAATGCACAATTTCACTGAATAACTGAAAGGGAGAGAATGTTAATTTTGCTGAGAAAAGGCTTTTATTAAAGTAATTCTTGAGCACTTTAATTAAAGAGGTGTTCAAAACAACCATCAGCTTTTTAAATATTCCCCTCCCGGTTGTTTTGGCATTCAGATTTTTGTGCAGTCATACTATACTATTTCTCCTGTCATGCTTATATAGTCCCAAACAAACAAACAAAAAACCCCTTTTATTTCTAATGGAAAAAGCTATGATTATTCATTTATTTTATTTCCCTTTCAGGCCAGTGTCTTGTTTAGCAAACAAGTAAAAACAGTCAACTTTCAGGTGAAGCTAAGACCAGCTACCTGGGTGAAATATATGTTGAATTTTCATGTAAATGTTGTAGCATTGGAAGAGTAAAGTACAAAACACAGAAATCAAACTTTTACAGTAATATGACACAACCACCACTATTAAACATCATCTGAAATGTTCTTTACCTTGATTACTTTGATTGGGTCCTGGAGTTTTACTACTTCAGTATAATCCAGTTGAAGTATTTTGCAGCATTGCAACTACAGTGTTTTCAGATACCGTGTATTCTCTTATTCTAGGTTCAGAAAGATTCATTTGCAGTAGATTTACATTGTTTCTTACATTACTTCCCCTCCTCCTTCAGGAAACACTCTTGGCTTTGGTACTTAAATATTTGTTCTTACACTCTGGAGAGCTCTGGCATCAGTGTTAAATGGGATTCTGACTTCTGTTGATGTCAACATCAAGATTTTTTGACTGATGAAGTAAATATTTACATCAAGAGACAATAAATATTGATGTTGACTTAAAACAGATGTCAGTATATATATTGTTACAGATCTTCTGATGTTTCCAATTAGATACATTCTTCTCAGAAAAAGAACAGCTTTGGATGCCACAGAAATAATCACTGTTCCACTTCTTTTTTTTCTTTTTTTTCTTTTTTTTCTTTTTTTTTTTTGGGGGGGGGGGGCAGGGAAGATTTTTCTGTTACAAAATCATTCCATTTAATGGGAGACTAGGGGCGCGCCAATACTGATGGCTGATTATTGACCAGTCATATCGGCCGATAGTGATCCGATTGCTGATATGCAGCCTGGCAGCTTGGGGAGCAGTGTCCAGCTGGTAAGTCTGTTGTGGGAAAGGGGTTTCAGTGAGGGAAGAGGTGTCAGGGGGCAGATCAAGGCCCCGCGGTGAGGGAGGGAGTGGGGCTGGGACTGGGGCAGGCACTGCACAGCCGGGGCAGGGCAGAGTACAGGACAGAGCCGGCAATGGGTGCAGGGCGGTGGCTTCTGCCACTGTGTGCACCCATGGGAGAGTTATGGGGGACATATGGCCCCTGGATCTGTGCATAGGGAGAAGGTGGGCTGTCACAGCATGCTCAGGGCTAGAGGTTGTGCCTGGCTCCTCCCAGCGGCTGTGCTTCTGCTGAGTGGGGCAGGCAGCAGTGGTATTGGGAGGGCGGCTGTGCAGGGGGTGCTACAGCCACCCTAAAATTTGCCGTAGCCTCCCCCTTAGCCCCCACTCCCAGCGCCGTCACTGCTTGCCCCACCCAGCCCAAGCGCAGCTGCTGAGAAAAGGTTGGAGCAGCTCCATCCCTGAGCATACAGCGGGCAGCCTGCTCTCGCCCCACACAGATCTGGGGGGGCACTTCCCCCGCCATGCCTTCCCCTGGGGGTGCTCACAGTGGCAGGAGCAGCCCCCCCCACACCCCATGGACGAACCACCGGCTCCATCTTGCGCGCTGCCCCAGCTATGCAGCACCAGCCCTAGCCTCACTTCCTCCCTCACCACAGGGGCTTGATCTGCACCCCCCCCACACACCCCTCTCTCCCAACAGACTTACCAGTCAGATGCTGTGCACATGCATGCAGCATTTATCTGCAAAGTTATCAGCCAAAAAAAGTCAATTGCTGATAATGTCAATTTTCCTTTTACGGTGCCGATGCGATATGGACTGATGTACTGGTGCACCTCTACTGGAGACCATGTGATTTTCCTCCATGGGCTTATGTTTTCAAATCAGTAATACAGTGCAACAGCAGACATGACTAATAGCTCTAGTTATCATCTTTGATATTTCACAAGGTAAAGAAGAAGCTTATAACAAGTTTCAGCAACTCGGACCATAAAGCTTCATGCATATATCAGTATATTAGTTTGTATTCATACTGCTATCTTTCTCGGTTTAAATAAAGAAGGGGTGGATGTTAACAGTAACTATTAGCAATAATTATCCTCTTCTACCTGTGAAAGAGATTCTGTCCTGGGCTGCTTAGGTGTAGCATAAAATGGATGTCCAACATAGAAAGGGATCTAATGTAATTTTATTCTACCAGTTCAACTTTATGCATTCTGGGTACGTTCAGGGATTATTGGAATGTTCCCTAGTACAATTCAGACCATGTAAGGAGAATATCTAAACTATTGCACTCTCACTAGGCTGCCATGTGGGTATTGGCACTGCTGAGAATGCAGCTGCACTGGGGGTTTGTACAGTGTCATCTATGGAAGCTTTACAGAGTGTTTCAGTTCAGAGGATTTTTTTTCCTTGGCATTTTGTTTTTCCAGAATTCCTGGATGCTACCAGAGCTGTATACAGAAGCCAGTCCACATGAGTGTCTTCTATATTTAGTGTCTCTTATCGTCATGGTGTTATACAAACACTAATTGGTCTTCACAGTACCATTGTGAAGTAGGCAAGTGTAACCAGTAAAGTACCTTTAGTCACACACCCTTGAAAATATAGACCCTGCCCTGAAGATTAAAGCGGACAAATTTTGAAAGATGCACATTTAGATGCATAGTTCTGGCACTTGATTGGGAAATTTGGGCTATGCGACTTGAGCAAGGCAACAGCAGCTGTCGTTCATAATTAGAATTACCACACTAGAATTCTGACTCCTAATTTTGGGTTCGTGCTTCTAGACTAGGTACAGACAGTCAAAAAGCCCGAGGCTGAATTGATTCAATCTTTGCAGGTTAATCTAAACTGCAGAGATTAAATTGAAACAGAACTGAACAGACATTTACCTTTGATTTAGGAAATTCAGCCATATGTCCGCAGTGGCTCAGTCCAGAAGCCTGGGGGCGCTAGAGCACAGCTCTCTAGCTGTGTGGTCACTTCTTCCTGCTGCTCCCAAGGTCTCTGGGATTTGTAGTCCAGAATTATAGCAGCAGGACTCTGCAGGGTTGCTGATGACTTCCTCTTCCTGTTTCCAGGTGCCTCTGGGATTTGTAGTCTACAGTTGCACCCAGGAGTAAATTTGAGTGGGGGAAGGGGTGCTTAACCCCCCTCCCTGGCCCCAGACCCCAGGGGTTTGCCTGAAGGGGCAGTCTCCCCCCACCCCCTCAGCACCACCACCCACAGACTGGGCTGCATCCCCAGCTGGGCTTGCCCTCCCCCCCCACCCTTCCACCCTTGCCAGCCCTCACTGTTCCAGCTAGAGAGCAGAGGGGCAGGGCCAGCCGCACTCTCTGGAGTAGACAGCCCAGCCCAGCCCAGTCCAGGGCTGCAAAACATGCTGTGAGACTGATTTAACTTAAACCAGGAAGGGGTCTGGGACAGAAGTTTCATAAACCAGCTTGACCCAGATCAGTTAAGTCTGATACTACATTCAACCAGGTTTATCTTTAAACCAGTTTTAGCCATTTTGAAACTGGTTTATGTTCACGGAGCTTCTGTTCTGTTACAGATTTAAACCAGTTTCTGATCACTTAAACCAGTTTATGTGCAACTTCTGTCCCTAACCCTAGGGTCCTTAGCATATGTTCACTTAGGCTAGGGACAGACATTCAAAAAGCCTGAGCCTGAATTGATTCAACCTTTGCAGATTAGTCTAACCTGGCTCGGCTAAATCAGTTTTGTAACCAGACAGACATCCCAGAAATGCAGGCACATGCCTGCAGTGGCTCAGGCTAGAAGCCAGGGGGTGCTAGAGCAGCCTTCCTTTCGCTTCCACAGCCGAGGGGTGTGTGGCCAGGTATGGCCAGGCTCTGGCAGGATGCTGTGATTAGAAAGGGCCTGCCCCCCCACCAAACAGCCCAGCAGGGAATGTTTATCACCCCTAACTTGGTGCTTATCACCCCTTTAAGAAAACAGAGGGACATTACCAGTTATATGTTGTTTCTGCCTTTGTCCCATGTGCCACAGCTCACAGGTAGCCAGCATGTGGTCTGCTAGCTAATGCTGAAAGTTGCCTGTGAGGGACGGGGGAATGCCTGTTTAGCAGAGTGGGGAGGGGAGGAGCAGGCAGACACTCTGTGCCTGCAAGTCTCTGCCAAAGCTGCAGCCAGCGAGCAGAGGGGAGGGGCCAGCCCTGCTGTGGAACGGAGAGCCCCACCCAGCCCAGAGAGCATGCCAGGGTGCTGGGGGAGGCTAATTTAATTTAAACCAGTAAGGGGTCTGGGATAGACATTGCATAAACTGGTTTGAGCCAAATCAGTTAAGTCTGATACTACATTCAACCAGCTTTACCTCAGACCGGTTTCGGCTACTCTCAAACTGGTTTATGTACACTGAACATCTGTTCTGTTACAGATTTAAACCAGTTTATGTGTAATGTCTGTCCCTAGCCTTAATAGCAGGTTGGATTCTGTTCCCCAATCCCAATAGTTACGTCTCATGCTGTTACACGTGCATGGGAGAAAGCATGATTTTGGGATTGGGGTCAGATCCCAGTTGCACCATTGCTGCTTGCCAGCACAAGGGGAGCCTGGGATCATGACCAGTAGAAAGCCGGATGCCTAGTGAACCGGTGTGATCATGGGGCTGAGATTGACAATCAGATGATTGCAGGTCCCAGCCCCAAGTCCTGCCATGCAGCTGTCATCAGGCTACATGGTGGACACCCTGCAAAATGGTCAGTTTTGTGTGTGATGGAGCCCAGCCACAAAATTATTACACATTTTGTGGATAATGTGTGATGGAGACCAGCCACAAAATTATTACACATTTTGTGGAATAATTTTGTGGTTTATTTCTCTTTTTATAGCACCATTAATTGCCTGAACATGTGGGCAGGTTACTATTTAATGTGCAATTAAGTGGCTATTGTGTTTTAAGTGTAACATCTGCCAGGGGCCTAGGACACAGGCTTTCCTCTAAACCAACTGAACCATAGCTAACAAGATTCTGTTTCTAATTGTCTACTGTAAATGCACGGATCAGGACTTAATGGTTTTCAATAAGTGTAAACAAAAAACTGTGCCTGTACGCTAGACAACTGCTATTCTTGCATTGTTTAAAGGCATTTGAGTTCAGTCATGTGCCTTACAGCAGCTCTGAAAAGTAAGGTTTCTCATTGCTGTTATGTTGCGTTATACTCTGACCTATTCACCCTAATTAATCTCGGCATATTCAAGAGTCAGAAAGAATGTCTGAATTGGACATACCAGCAGGTATTTGGCTTTGGCAATGATGTCTGACCCAGAATTGCCATCATTTAAACAGTTCTGTTGAGTATGTTATATGTGAAAGAACATTTGTTTTTATCAGGTGACTGCAGCAGTACCTCATGAAGGAGAACAGAATGGCCTCATGGGTAGAGTGGATGAAGGTGTGGATGAATTTTTCACTAAGAAAGTGACAAAGATGGATTCAAAGTAGGTTCAAATTTTCTAATGGGTTAAAATTTTAATTAAAAAATCCTTGTTAACAGCTTGTGGGGATGGAACACATTTTTGTTTGACTTGTCCTAATGCTTGATCCTGAAATTTGCATAGCAGGGTAGAGTCCAGTCTATCACAGATTTGATTCCCCTCACTTAAATATACACTTTAGTCCCAATTACTACCAACTGTACTTTGTTATAGTTCAGTTGACTTCCTTGTTTCGTTCAGTGGAGCTCATTAGGACCAGCAGTTTATATCAGCTGAGCATTTTGCCCTGTGCAGTAAGGGTGATGTCCTCTATAAATGTCGTGGCCAAGTGGCAGGTGTCTTTTCTTTTTTGACAAACATATATGTTAAATATTAATTTTATAAAATTGTAACACTCCTTATTTAGGTGTATGATTCAGTCCAAAATGTCTGCTTTGTACACCTTTGCATAGCCAGAAAACCCAGTTGGTTATGTGGTATGGTAGTCAAATATATATTTTAAAGCACTGAGCACAGATGCACTAAATTTTTTTAGTATGATCCTACAAGCCAAACATAAACAGATATACTGGAGCTAATTCCATCCTACCTGTAATGACCTTATTAGCAATGTTTGACATCACTGAACTAAAAGCAAAATGTTAAGTAAATGATACGTTTAAATTGGTAAATGGCTTGGGGAGGAAACAAAATGTTAAAAGTTAGTGTGAATGATAAATATTGATGGTGACGCATCAAATCATATGCGATGCACATAATTCATTTAACTGTGAAATGCTGCCAGCTTAAAAACCATTATAAAAAAACACTTGGCCATATTGACCTGCAGCAAAGATGGGGTTTTACTCGTATTGCATAGGATCAGTTGTTTGCTTGCAGACAGGATCATACGTATAGACTGCTGTTACAAAATGTTATCAATGATCGCTTTCCATGAACAGCAGCAGCATATTAGCTTTTTTCAGATTTTCATGGCAAGCAGTGGATGTGTTTATATTTTGTCACCTCAAAAGCTGCATGATTGGATGGAGAAGGGAGCATGGCTGATTAGAAAATCACTGTGTGTTGTGAAGGGCAGTTCTTAAAGGGGAAAATTCCCCAATGCTGGGCTGTGTCAAACATGTGGGCCAGAGCCATGCTAGTCAAGATTCAGGAAAGAAAAAGCCTAAGTTGAGAAAAGTGTTCATAAAGGTGAAACACCCTCAATGTATGGGTGTTCAGGCAGTGGGAGATAGGACAGCTAATCTAGAGCCTTGGTGCAGCTCACAGCTTGCGTTTGGAGCAGTTAGGTCATGTGTGTCCCTGAAATTAAAAAATATATTCACCCTATGTGGTTTCCTGTCCATGTAGCATTACACACAAAGCCAGCCCTATAGTTCTTAGTAACTTTAATAGAGAGTTTGGTTAATATTATGAAAGTTAATTGGCTAGTAATTTATAACCATTAGATAGTGCTCAGGTAAAATGCTAATGATTACAAAAAATGTTAGCTGTGCCTGGGAAAAGTACTTTAAAACTATTAAAAGAGGAGTTGATGAAAAAGTCTCTCTCTTATTAGGAGACCATCAGTAAAAACTTCCGACACCAGTGAGTCTAGTGAAACAGGTGATGAAAAGAAGAAAAGAGATTCTAGGAAAAGTGGCTTTCTCAACTTAATCAAGTCAAGATCCAAATCTGAGCGTCCTCAAACTGTCTTAGTGGCAGAGGAGCCTGCATCACCTAAGGGCATTGTCAAAAGCCCAGCTGTGGACATTTCCAAGAAGGAGCTCAAATCAGCTGAACAGAACGGCAGTGCAGAGCAAGTGGAGGAACTGAAAATGCCAGACTCTCTAGAGGAGAGACAGCCAGAGGATGCCACAAAGCCCGAGAAGAGTGACAACAAAGGCAGCCCCCAAGGAGGGCGGAGGTATGGAGTGCAAGTGATGGGCAGCGGACTCCTAGCTGAAATGAAAGCCAAGCAGGAGAAGAGAGCGGCCTCAGCTCATAAGGTAGGGGCAGGTAGCTTTGATTTTGATTTGGTTGAAGAGCACGGAAGACCTAGGCTCTTCGAAATGTTCTCACAAGGGGAAGAGTCTGATGCTTCTCTTTGCAGAACAGGTGTTTCATTGGCATGTGATGTGAGTACGTATCATAGAAGTTAAATATGGGAAAGGCCTAATAGTCGGTATCCTGTGCCACTGCAGGATTGTTCCTTATCAGTTAGTCAGGTTTGTAGGGGTCTGCATCCCTCTGTTTGGGGTATTGGTATTGTCAGTAATGAGGTCTTTTGAACAACTAATACTACAGTTGGAAATAAATCTCACTCTCAGGCAGTGTTTGCTAATATGAGACTTAACTTTCTTTTTACTTCATTGTACCCCTTACTACTTTGATATATTATGCCAGACATAACCGTTCCTATTCTTCCTTTAAATAATATTCTTCAAATACTGAGACTTTGAGAAATTAAAAGTTAAAATTATTTTGGGGTCATGTGTATATAAATGACATAATTCCTATTGTACATTTCAGCTGCCCTTTTTTCTGAACTGGTAATGCTATGTTGAACTGGAAAAGAAGTCTTCTGCCAGTACTGTTTAGGGAGCACTGTTCTTGTACATCTCAGTATTTTAACTCCCTGTAAACATGCACCTTATAGATGCAATTCATTTTTAATTTAAATGCAGTATACAGCTAAAACTGCTTTTTTTCCCAAGTTTTTCAACTACTATATTTCAGCACCTAAGAATAAGTGTTTACACTGGGGTTGCACAAAAAAGGAATTGTTTGTGTTCAGAAGTTTTCTTATTTTCCTTTTCTTTCTTTCTTAATCATGCTGGTTTGAAATATGTAAGTGGTTTTGCATTCTTTATTTTGACCAAAAGCTGAACACTGAGTCACTTAGTATTTTTATAGTGGTGTTATGGGAGAATGCCTTCTTAATACATGTTCATTCACATCTTAAGTGATAGAACACTGATTCCCTTAATATTTTCATATTTATCTGGATCCCATCATGTTAGTAAGTTATATTTTTCTTTAAGATACAGATGGTTGTTTAAATTCAGATCTACCCTATGTAAAAACAAAGCCATAAGGAATTTACTACTTCATTCATAACCTACCACAGCCTTATTGCAGTTATAAAGGATGAGCAGGTGCAGAGTAGATGAAAAGATGGTAAATGCATTTTTGTTTTCTTTTGCTTTGAATATGTTGTGTGAATTGGCATTAATGCCACAAGAGAAATGAGTAAGGTTTAATTAGCATTTTTCCCAGGCATATATTAAAGATCTAGCTCCATCTAGTGTTTGTAGAATCAATTTAAAAAAAAAAACAACTGCAAGACAGACAACCAGATTCATTTGCAACCTCATTTACACCTAGGCTTTTATTACAATTTATGCATTATTATGTACAAGTGCTCTTATTTCTGTCTCTCACTTTTCCTTTTTATGGAGCCAAATTATTATTTGTGTGTATAACCTAATACAGGGGTGGACAATTATTTGGGCCCAGGGGCCACACAAAGAGTTTGAGTTGTCATAGTCCAAGTCAGCACACCCCTGCCTCCCCCACAACAACTGACTAACAATCCCAATGCAGGATGGGGCCGCAGGGGGCAGGGATTGGTGTTCGGGAGTCGGGTGGGCAAGTAAGGGGCTGGGGCCAGGGCAGAGCCCCAGTTCTGAGGGCAGGGACTTTTGGGGCCAGGGACCGGAACAGAGCTGCGATCTGGTCCCTGTATGCCCCTGTCCTGTGCGGGGGGAATGTGCACATGGGTTCGAGGGGAGGGAGCTGCCTGGGTACTAGGTCACAGGAGCCAGCTGGAGGTGATGAGAGGGAGGAGGAGGCAGGAAGCGCATGTAGCAGAGCGTGCCCAGGTGGTATAGCTGACAGCTGCCCTACACTCTACAGGGGCCAGCACTCCACAGGGGCCAAGCCCTCCCCACTCCCGGGGGCAGCCTATGCTGCACTCCCACTGGCCCTGGTCCCAGCCAGCGTGCACAGTTTACCAGCGGGGCTGCTGCCAGTGGGGTTCAGCTCCTCTTGCCTCCAACAGTGGCTCCTCCTCCTGCTCCTTCCTCCTGCACCACTCCAAGAGGCTCTTGCCCCTGTGCACAGGGCTCCAGCTCCAGCCCTGGCTGCCTTCCACCCATGGCAGGCAGGATCTGCCCAGCTGAAGCTCCCCTC